GGTAAAGATGAAATAGAAATCATGCAGAACAGAGCAGCTAGAGGGATTTCCCTAGGGACCTAAATATCTTCAAGCCAGTTTCTCCTCTGGAAATTGGTTCTAAAGATAATCCTGTACTCAGCAAATTGCAAGGTGCTGCCCTGCAAGAGTAACCAGAGCAGCACCTGGGCAGCCAGAAACTTCCCAGTGGCTCTGGAAACACCCTTGACATGTTTTTTTGCTTGTGCCCATGCTTCACATGCAGAAGGAACAGGGCAGATACACGGGTGTTAATTAACATAACATAACAGCGCCTAATCCCTAAAAGGTCAGCAGGATAAGTACAGAAGTTTGGTAGGATTTTCCAGTATGAGAAGGGTAGTTCTCCAGTTGGGTTTGCTGTTTATAAATCCTCCAGCTAAGAATTGCACCTTGGATTCCCTGTAGTTATTCTGAGTTGGGTATTTCAAGGTGATCATGTTAGACTCTGTTTCTCTATTGCTATGATTACCATTAGTAAAGTTGTTTCCATAAGTTACCAGGAAAAAGACAGTAAAAGAAATTTCAACATTTTCTTGAGAACTAATAATGAGAGAGACCTGTATATATAGAAATATATATATATGGACTGAAAATAAAGGAGAAGAAAAATGGGACTAAGATAAAATAATAGAAAAACATGAAATTATTGCAAAACTACCACTCAGCTTAAGAACTTAAATGACATTGCATTATAAACAATAACTAAGTTCTTAAGCAAGAAAGCAAATCCCAAGCTCTGTTTCAAGATCTGTAAATGTTACAAAACCCATAGTCTGGACCTACTGCTTACTTCCCAAGAAGGGTTTCTGGGCTTTCCAAGTTACCGCACTCATCAGAGGAAACTGGGGGAGCCAGTTTGTACTTCAGATGAGAGTTCAGAAAGTAAACCCAAGGATGTGGGTAGTATTGAGTTAGATAGGACTTTCATTGATTGAATAATCTATAGCTGCAGAAAGTACAGCTATTTTTCTACTGAGTTTGACTTATCTGACTTTCTTCTGAGGAAAGCTTTTATAGGGTACATCTATCAGTTTGGACACAGAGGCACAATGCTCATTGGCGTACGTCCATTAAACTATAATAAAACTACAATGTAGTGAGCACTTCAACTGTCTTATTTTTATATACCGTAAGTTTATATCATTATCTTCATGTACTTTTATTATTTTATACATCTGCAGCATACTAATCTTTGCAGAAGATAATTACATGGGAAAGAAAAGGATAGAGTTCTGATAGGAACGTGTGTTTTTCTCAATCCGAATGACCTAGTCAGGACTCCAGCCTTTCTCAGAAGCCACAACTCCCCAAACTTCAGGAATTTTATTAAAAATTCATGAAACAGGTTAATTAAACTTTGCTGTTATTTTCTCTCCTCCTTTGAGCTCCCTGGAGTGGCACTGGAAGATCTATCTTGGGATGTGGCAGATGTGGGCTAGAGCCTGTGCTCTAGTTTCAGAGGAGGCATTGTCTTACAGTCTCCTGAATACCAGGGGAGTATGTTAATATCTGGTCTACAGGAACCAGGTCTTCCTTCTCAAGTAATAGCAACCAAACGCCCTGGAAATTGCTTTATGAGGGACCCTTAATTTTTGTTACATTTTCTCCTGATTTGGGAAATGGCAACTTTCAACAAGGATGTGATTTGACGACAACAACAACAACAACAACAACCAACCCCCCCCCCAAAAAAAACACACAACAAACAGCACTGAAAAAGTGCCTATTGCTTGTTTTGTCAGCAGTTTTGCAAAAAATAAAATTAATAAAATTAAAGACCTTATTGAAGTCCCTTTAATAGATTTCAGAAGGGAGTGTACTCAACTTTCTGGTTTCATCATCAACCTCAAATTTGTTTTCAGAAAATTGGGATTTAACTGCACAAATACTACTCTTATCTATAGGAGTTCTGTGGTTGAGACACAAATGGCTTTCACAGAACATCTTTTCCTCTTTAGTTAAAGACTTCTGGGTTGATTATCATGTTGTTGGCATGTTGCATGTAAATAAATTGTTAAACTACTATTGTTCATACATCACTGTATAGCATACTGTAGTTCAGCTTTGTGCTTTTGATAGTATGATGTCATTACTAATGTTTGTACGTAACTGCCTATTAATAACTAATTAGTCATGACTGCACTTTTAGTCTCATCATGAACAATGGCATAAGTTCCACTGACTTGAATAGATTTAGGGCTATTCCCGTTAAAATTATTAATATGTATCTTCTCATGTTCACCAGAGCATCAGTAGATCTGGCAATGTACTGTGTGCCAAGAGTACACTGCATTTCACCAGTGCACCTGCTTGATGTGCTGTTGAAGAGAATGACTGGGCCATAAACAGGGGTTAATGTGTAAATACAGGAACAGAACATCCACAGATTTCTCCCTGGGCCAGCGTTCCTCATGTACCATCTTCTGGCCATCCTTGGTGGAAGGGAGGGTCTCAACCCACATAACTGCCCTGACAGTGCCTGTTGGGGTCTGAAAGACCTCTCCTGGGTCCCACTGGTGCATGCTGGGGACAGGGCCAGCCCTAGCCATGCTGCTCTATTTAATTATTCCACCAAGGTTGTTCTCTTTCAGCCAGGGCTATCTTGCCAGCCTTGCACACCTCCTGTAGGCACCAGCCCAGGCCCAGTTACTGAATCCAGCCTCTCTGTTTCTGTTTCCATGATGGTGGGAACAGCTTCATCAGACCTTTTTTCATGTTCTAGGAAAAAATTTAAGCCCCTGGGAAAGGGTTAAGTTAGTTAGATGCTTCATTGATTAAATAATATGTGGCATGTTTACATATTTATACTCAAAGCATTTCCAAGTTTGCCCTTTCTCTCAAAAGAACAATAGCAACCACTTCTCTTCCAAAGTTAACAGTTTCCAGTCCATCACTTCTTTTACCATGTAATTTCATCCTGCAGGTTTCCAGTGTGATTGTTGTTAAAGGTTTAAGAAGTTTAAATTGACCTTGACCAGCAAACATGTGATTTACAGTAGATGATATTGTTCTAGAAAAATAAAACTTTTGTCCTGAAGCTAAACAGCATTTAATTGATTTATATTACTTCTCCTGGGCCAGATTCTGGCATATTTACAAACACTGCATGTTACTTTAACTCCTCCAGAAGCCCCATTGATTTCAGAGGCACTCTTCCAGAGTGAGGCATATTCACAATATAAATAAATATAGAAACATACGGTCCATTAATATATTGTAATGATTTTGAATATAAATTCTTTGATCACTTCTAACCTTGTCTTCAGGTCCATTTCTAAAGTCCTTGGAATTATTCAAGCCTATTTTAAAAATACACAGACAGTGCCTGTTTTCTTTAATAGAAATCCCTATTGGCAGTATCACGAAATACCTTGGAACATGGTACATATGTTTGTGCTGGAGGAAAAAAGTCCTCCTCCTACTTTGGAAATTATGAGATATGTTCTTGTTGCAGACTTTAATGGGGCAGGGTTAGAATCATAGGGAATTAAATGATTAATTGTAAAATTGTGAAAGAACATCTTCCTAGTATCCCTGTGAACCTTGCAAGTTTGGAACGATTTGTGTTAAAGAGACAAAACTGGCATTGAAGTGTTCCTGATGTTATTGCTACCTTTTATCTTTTTTGGCATGGTCTTTAGGAAACAGCAGAAAAGGAAAAATATGAAATTGAACACAGAAAATTTAATTATAAAACAAAGCCACCCACCTTGCTTTCAGGGTCAGGAAGTATAATCGCCTCCTTTTGACGCAAGAATGAGTTTAACAACATATGTTAAATGAACAATTATTTAAAATAAAAGGAAATTGCCTTAAAAATAGCTGCAGGATCTCAGGCTATAGCACCACAGCAGTGAAGAAAAACAGCCCATTGTGGGAGAAGGGTACATGCACAAATGAGAGAGCTCCCACAACCCTACCCTTGCTAAGACAAAAGCAAAACACAATAATTTCACAGAATACTCTAAAATCTCTCACTTGTTTTTGATCTCACCAGCTTGTTTGTTTTCCTTCTGATTTTTTTAAATGTTTGTTTATTTTGGTCTTTCTTTTTTCCTATTTATTTATTTGTTGGCTGCAAGACTAAACCATAATGCCCAAAGCCACTGTTTGCTGCACAATGGCACGATGACATTGGGTGTTTTCCATAAATTGTATTTCGCTGAGTGTCGCAAGCAGTGGAAACACCAGAGCAAGCACGTCAGCGCTAGATGCACACCTAAGAATAAAAGGAAAAGAGCTTTTTGCACCAGAATGAATCCATTTTTCGTGAAAGCTCTGGGAGTCACCTGACCGAGCCCGGAGCCTCCAGGACAACACAGCACCAGTCTGCAATGGGAAAGAAATTAAGCAGGGCTGCCTTCGCCTCGCACATGCCTTTTAGCCTGTCGACGCATTGCCTGTCCGTATCCTTCACAGCGCATCTGTAGAGCCATTAAATTGGATAATCCCTCTGGCCTTTGATACATTTCTGGACATGATTATTTCATTACTCGCAGTATATCAGTAGGATCATAATAAAAAGGACTTCTGACAACCTGCCAAGAGTTTTGTGGCCTTGTAAACACAAAAGTGCTCTAATAAAATTTTATTAAGTGTTAAAAAGTCATAAAAAGTGAAATAACATAAACTACAAAATTTACTGTCCTCAGCAAATGCTGAAAATATCGTCCATAGTAAAATTAAATTAGCATGTAATAGCGCGGCAGCGTGGAGTGGGCTTGAAAGAGGATCCGGGAGGGGGGTAGGGGGAGGGGAACAAAAAAAAAAAAGAGGGAGGGGGGTTGGAAGAAAGATAAAAATTGCACTTGAACCGAATATGGGTCACGGGGGGTTCGTTTACGGCGATCCCCGCGTGTTCCCGGCGGGCCGCGGGGACGGGCGCGGCGGGGCCGCCAGGCGGCGCTGTGGGAGCGGGAATGCGGCGGGCCCCGCGCCGCGACCCCCGCGCCGCCCCCAGCAGAGCCTTGTACGGGGGCTCTGGCGTCTTCTTGCAAATTAAAAAAAAAAAATGGTGCGAGAAAAACAATGCGGGTAGAGCCGGGCTGGAAGGCGCCTGGCGGGGCAGGCAGCGGCGGGACGGGCTCCCGGCGGCTTCGGCCGCGCCGCCGCCTCGGCTCCCCCGCGCCCGGGGCAGGGGCAGGGGGTGCAGTGCCGGGGGCGAGCGAGGCGGCGGAGAGTGCTCGCCCCCCGCGCCTCCGGGGGCCGCCGCAGGAGACAAGTAAGTTCAACCTTTCCACCGCCGTCGGTGCTGCGCCGGGAGAAGGCACGGCCGGGATGGGGAGCGGGCGAGCACCGCGGCACACGGCCGGGATGGAGCGGGACGGGACGGGATGGGATGGGACGGGCTGCCGCCGCTGCCGCGCTCCCCTCTTGCCGTGCCGGCTGTCCGTGCTCCTGGGAAAGGGATGCGCTTGTGTCCAGACTGGTTTGGACGCCGGCAGCAACCGGGTATGGGAGTGCGGTCACTGAGGGAGCAGCCGAGGTGGCGATGCCAGGTTCTCGGGGAATTGCTTCTCGCCCTCGGGATGTCCGTCCCGTGGAGCTCTACCGGGATTTACCTGCGGCTGGCCGGGAAGGAAGCGACCACGCTGCCGTCACATGGAGCCAGCCGCTTGGCAAAGCCGCCCGAAACTCAACGCAGACGGGGCGGGGGGGAAGGAGGGGTAGGGAAAGAGGGAGGAGGGAGCGAGGATGATAAAATAGCAATAAAACAAGGAAATTGTGGGTAGGAAATATTTTAAGTTTCGTTTTCTTCAGGGGAAGAGGATAGCTGGTTCTCATGTTGCAAGGCTGATGTTCAAGGCCAACCACTGTATGAAAAATAGTGACTCGCCGCCTAAGCCTGGCGTGTCTTTGAGCCTGGGCTGCTGCCCGCTGAAGTGCAGCACGAGCAGCTCCGGCGGGGAGCGGGCAGGGAGAGACCCTTAGGGAAAAACTGGCTGGAAAACAGACGGTATATGAGCAGGAACAACGAGCTTTGCTCTCAGTAAGGGTGAAAAAATGACCATTAAGTTAGTTTAGAAGAAATTCTAGCAGCTCTTGTAAGTAAACTGCACTTCAGTGGCTTTGGATCTATACACTGTGTATTAAGGCAAGGTTACAAAGAAAACCAGTAATAGTATTGTGCTTTATTTTGAGTCCTAAGAATGAATGGGAAAGTTGTAGGTATAGTGTAGAGCAGTGCTTGATTTAGCAGGGCTTTATTTAGCTGTCTTGAATTAAGACTGGTTTCTAAAAATAAGTATTTCTGTTTGTACATTATCGGCTAGTCCTGTGTGCATGTGCAGACCATACAGCCTTAAAATGTATATTTATCTAACTGATACAAAACTTGTAATGTTTTATATACCCTTACGTTCATCACCTCTGATTAAGACTATGAGGATACTACTATGTAATTCCTATATATATTTCCTGGAAAAAATACAGAAATAAAATATATTGGAAAAAATAGCAAAAACCTTTGCTTTTCTTCCATCTCAGATTTTTCTATAAATCGGTAACAATTTTACAATAATGACTGCAGTTACTAATACTCACAGAAAGAAGTTGTACTTTTTAAGCAGTACTTTTTAAGCATTGTCTACTTCATTTTTTAAAAATCCGAGCTCTACAGCATCTATGGAAATACACAAGTTTTCAATGAAAGCTAAATAATGATTTTCTTTTCTCTCTAATGAAATTTACAGTCTTCTGTCACCAAATATAATGTAAAGACTGCAGAAATGCAAACAGAAAGTGTAGCAGCACTGTGATCAAAGCTTTGAACTTATATATGAATTAAAAAGTCAGCAAAGCATTACAGAATTCCACGTACATGTGGCTAAGGTGTGTGCACGCTTACACAAATTTGAAGAGTTTTAAAGTGAAATGAAGGCTTTTGGAGTTAGTTTGCATTACTGAAAGACTCTTCAGCATCAATTCTAATATTTGTTGGATTTTGGAAACATTTCTAGGAATTTCCACTTTAGGCTATGGTGTGCAGAGCCACACCACCTTTATTTTCAAATATGGTGTTAAAAACATAAGTCTGTCATCTGTTTGATCAGTTGTTTGCTATTTTGTGCTGCTCTCAGCCTGTACGTGTACAATATCATTGGGTGAATAATCCCATTTGTTCCCTGGATTTTACAGCCAAGGATCAGGATACGTGCTTATGTGGGTGGGTTCCAGGTTTCAGTAGAACTTTTTATTCCTAAATTTAGCATTCTAGTTTGTGGTGGGTGGTTTTGACTATGCAGCATTACTTTGACAACGGAATTTTTATGTCAGCCTAATGGGATCTAAAATTTAAAAAAAAAAAAGATACAACAGGCAACTATAGGTTGTGTTTAAATAGAGACAGTAAAGGCTCGATGGGCAAATGTCTGACCTTGCATTGCACAAGGCTGGAACTCCTGTTGTTTACATCCAGCTTCATCCCTGCTGCATTCAGTATCCAACATTGCCTTGCAATTCCAGCTGCGACAAGCAAAAGCTGGAGTCCTGCCTAGGGAAGTTTGCAATCTGCCTGTCAGAAGGGCCTCAAAGGGTGAGGAAGGAAAGCCCAGTTACAGTGGACCACAATGCTTGCAGCAGGCAGGATGGATATTGTCTGGGCTCGGGGACTGGGGCTGCACATGTGTCAAATTTTTTGGCAGGGTTTCTTTAAGTGCTTGCAGAATTTAAAGGCACGCACCATCCAACAGAGCCTACCTTGCAATACATTAACCAGAACTTTCTAAGTTGATTAATAACTTCAGCCTTTTGGTGCTGGATTTTTTTTTTTTTTTTTTTACTGTAATACAGCTGGACCCTATGCTACAGAAAGAGATAATGGATGAAATCTTGGCTCTCCTGAAGTCTGTCAGAAAACTCACTGACTTCATTGGAGCCACGTTTTCATCAGCTGCCTCATAATACTTTGTATCAGCCATATGGAGGAGATTTAAAATTGGCTTTAGAAGAAATAGAAATTAGCTCCTCTACAAATGATTTGCATGGGTTATCTGTTTTTTTTTTTCTCCAGGTAATATAAATGGCAACGCTAAATGTAAACTGCCAAAAAGACAAATAGCTGTATAACATTTTGATTTCCTGTAACTACAGCATAACTCAACTGAAATATTAATTTAAAATGAACAAAGTTGGATTACTGTATGTAAGACCACCAGTTCTGATCTGGATGATGCAAGGGCATGGGAAGACCTTCAAAAGCACAACTGGCTATTTACAGATCATGACACATTTTAAAAGATGTGAAACTGTATGTCAATGGTGCTTTAACATGAGAGGCAGTAAGTTAAGCAGGGGAGACGGTATTAATTCACAGCTCTCGCTTTTGTACTTTTAGTGTTATTGAATTGTGCTTCCCCTTGATATTTTAAACAGATGCATCATAATGGACTTCTTAAAATCTGATTTAAACCACAACACCAGGAAATACAATTTTGTTAAAAAGGGAGGGAGGGAAAAAGAAACTGCTGGACTCCCAGCCACTCCCACAGTTGTCTTTTCACAGACAGTTTTTTCTGATCCATTAGCCTGCCAGACAGAGATGGCACCTATCCAGTGTAAATATTACATTTTCAACATTTGGATGGCATTTTGGGCAATATTTCTCATCCCCTGAGAGTGTACACTTTATAAATACAATGTTATCTGCTATTCAGAGCTAGATTGTGGTAGGATGAGACTTCATAATGCAAAAGACGCTTAAAGAAAACTGTTTATGGACACACTGTAGAATAAAACTTCTTCCTTTCAGTTATTTTAATTTACAGTGAAAATTACTTAAGCACAGCATCAAACACACTTTTTTTTTCTGGAATAGGGAAGATCCATATACCATTTTGGAGGAATAACTGCATGTTTAGACAAGATCTGTCGCTACTGTTCAGCAGCTTCATCTGCACTGTGCAGATATTGAAGTGGAAAGCCACTCTAGTGTCTTTGGGACCTAATATCCTCATTGGACTAAGCTCTTCACTGTGTGTATTCCAGTAATATCCCACTAACAGTGCCAGATGCTGACAGAACTCCGCCTTGGAAATAATTATGAAAGTGAGTTGATCCCCATCCATTGCAAGTAGGAGATACACTTAGAGCAAGAATTTGTTCTGAAATTCCCATTCTATTTTAAATCCTTGTCTTCTGATTAAAGCGAAAATGGGCAATATTTGGACTAACCCCCAAAACAACTTCTTTGTGCTTGTTGTTCTAAGTAAAAACAACATAGCTGTTTTGGATAGTCTTGCATAAGGGAGGAGAAACCACACCCAAGCACGGCACTTCTATCACAAGCTTAAGCTGTCAGGAATTTACACAGTTTAATTATATGCCCTGAAATTTGTGTTTACAATGAAAAAACCTGACCTATCTCTAACTACAGAAGTGTTGCTTAGGACTATTTTAATATATACCAGATGCAGTCCATTAAACTGGAACAAATACAATCCTGAAAATGCTACTTTCACATTTTCCTGGTTGTAGTTAATTTTCCATACTCATAATCTACTGTTTTCAAAGAATGTCCTTATTTCTTGACTTTGAAGTACAGAGCAGTGTGTTTGTCTCCTGTTTAGCTTCCCCACCTTCCCTTCAATTTGTGGCTCATGATACTTTGTGTTTTGGACCTTATATTTACCCACCTTCAATAAAATGTTATCAGTTGGTGCATGCTTCTCATTTGTAAGTTTCTGCCTGTGGATATCAAACTTGAAGGTCTGGTAGTGCAGTAGAGGCTGGATCCTGGAGCCTGAGTGAAGAGGAGCCCCACATCCACCTGGCTACAATGGTAAAGTAGAAGAGAAATAGCAGATTTTCATAATGGAAAGCTGGGTAAGAAATTTCATGGCTTTCAAGAAGTGCTTTACCTGTGGTCCTGAAGGAGAGACACGTCAGTGTGACTGGATGACTCCTTGTAAACAGAGCTGGAGGGAGTCCCTCTTGCAGCAGCTGTGGCTTTCCCCAGGCCCATCAGCTTCCCCACAGTGCCCCGGGGCACAAGCAGTGGGACTGTGCCAGTTCTTTCTGGCAAAGAATCTGGCCTTACATTTCCAGCCTTTGTCACTGCAAAAATAACCTTGGAAATATGAAGCCTGAGTAAACTAAGGAGCTGGCAGGAAACTTGGAATAATGGTTCTGAGAAGTGTGAATTGTGCCCATCAAATGTGATACCTTAGAGGCCTGATAACGTGTTCAGTACCAGACAATATTAACTATTAATGGCAAGCCCTGGCTAAACTGTTTCTCCCACTGGGGGAGTTTGTCCATGTGCAGAGGAAATGCAAACTTATCAGGCCTTGAGTGTTCCCGGAAAGGGAATGTCCCAGTTTGGTACCAGGACATCTCATTCCTGTCACTCTGCTCCCTTGGTAGCATTGTGTATTGTGCTGAATCAGAATATACATGGTGTGCCCTGTGAAGGAGGTGAGAGGGGAATAAGCAGGAGCACAGGTGGTTCTAGTACTTCTGTCTTTCACAGAAGAGTCTGGCTTATAGTCACATCAGGAGTTGGACGTGATGATCTTTGTGAGTCTCTTCAAGATATTCCATGATTCTGCAAAAGCAATACAGGGCGATGTGGAATGCTATGGGAAGAAAAGGACTGATAAGTTTAGGAGGTTAAAATTTCTATGATTAGCAAAAGAGATGAAAAATAAGATACTGAGTGACCAATAATACCTGCCTTGGCCTTATACTAGTATGAGTGATGGTAAGACCAGTAGTCCCATTTTTATCTGTACAAACCATACATCCAGTTACATCAGGGTACCTGACAATCTAACACGGAAATGAAGCTGAAGGTGTGATGTCCTGGGCGTTCTGGACATAGAGTCTCCTCGTGTCACTGTTCCTGTAGCAGATGAACTAAATAACTCCTCCTGAAATGCTGTAACTCTTGGTCCCTGGCAGCAAAGACTCAGGATGGATCCAGTCACACTGGCTAGAGCCCCTCTGTCATCCTGCAGTTCTACCTGTGCTCAGGACTCTTCATGGCACCCACCAAAGCAAACACCCACCCCTTCTTCATGGTTTACATGTTTAGTCCTTTAACCAGTAAAGCATCTTGGTTGGCTCAAGGCTCCTATGGTTGTGCTGTGAGCAAGGCCAGTAGGCATTGAAATCAACTTGGACGGCACATACCTTCTGGTGTATACTTACACCAAAACTTAAAATGAATAAACTATCATCCATTTCCTGCTTACTGTTGTTTAGAGCATGCTGCATGTGAGAGCCAGAGCCATCGGAGTAGGAAGAACAGCTGTATTATTTCTAATGACATCCAGTGCTGTAAAGTGCTTTGAAGTTGCATAGCTGCTGTTTCTTCTTTATGATTTCCAAATGCAAAGGGGGGGGGAAAAAAAGGCATATCAATTGTAAAAGCATCAATCAGTCTAATTGGACAGTAGTTGTCTGTGTCGTTTCTTCTTATGGTGATCTGAAGAGGGAAAGCAAAAAAAGAAATTTTTTTTGATGGTTATAAAGCATACATTATTTACTTCTGAGACCAAAAAAAAACCCCATGCATAGCATTTGTCAAAGGCCAAAGGCCAACATACTTACATATTTCCAAAAGTGCATTTTTACTGGTGGTGTGCATTTGACTGGTGGTGTGCTTGACCACTGGGTGGATCACTTAGCACCACTAAAACACCCACCACCGTTTTGCATCATCATCTGTCCACCAGTGATACTGTCACTTTAAAATCTAACAAAAGTTTGCTTATTTTACTACATTCCCATTCCTATCAGACTGCTGTTTTTCCAATATGAAAGAGGGCTAGAAAGACTATGGACTGAACCTTACTGAGCTCACTCCTCACTGGGGGCTGCAAGTTGTCCTGCCCCTTTTAGGAAGGCCAATATAGTCCTTGGTGCTCTGCTTGGCCAGTTTTGCCAGCTGGCATAAGAAAATACCACGTTTGAATGAGTTTTAGCTTTCTGAGCTCTGAGGGTGATGTAAGGACTCGGAGGAGGATCGAATCCCAGGTCTGGCAGAAACTCTTCCGAGCTGACTGCTCTGACTATCGCACACAAGCTCCTCCTGAAGCAATGCCAACAAATGCTAACACAAGATACCCCTGCAATTGATGCAAACTGTGAACATGTAATGCTGCACTTGCTCTCCAATATAATGTATCTGGACCTTGTAACAATCATGACATTCACTCCATGACAATCATTTAATGTGTGTTTTATTGTGCATTTTAGATCACTACGTGCTCCATGGGAAATGGTAAGACTATATGCCAAAGGCCAGATTCTGCTTTCCTGTTATTCTCCCAGTGACCCAGAGAAGAGAAAAAATATAGAAAGAAAACTGCTGACATTTATATGCCCATATAAAAATACTGAAATACAAAGCTGCTTATGAGCATTTCATAATAAAATCCTGTCCTGATGACAGGATTTGTTTTAATTGTGTGCTTATATGTGACTTTAATGTATCTAAAACATTTTCATACATTGTTAAAGACATATTTCTTCTTGTGATTACATCTAGGTACAACAAAATTGAAGGTTTTTTAAATATAATTGCCTGGAAAAGGGAGTTGTTGATACACTTTTAAGTAAGTCCCATGACTGACATCTCTAGCATATTGAAATAAATACACAAATATAGTTAATCGCTACATGGTTTAAGCAGTGAAGGACTTGCCATAACTTTTATATATGACAACATTACAATGTTTAGATAAATTGCCTGGTGTAGATCAGTAAAGGGGGACCAATTCATTTTTGTCTATCTTAAAAAGGGCTCAGAAAAACATGATCCCTCACCAAACATCCACCGAAAGGACAACTCACTGTAATACACTGAGATAAAAAATGAGTTCAGCAGGGGAACATGCTTATTTATCTGGTGGGTCCATTATCTTAGTTGTCCTTGACAGCCAATGAAGAGTCATATACAGTTTACATTAATTGATTTTATTGTTAATCTGCTCGAAATTTTGTCAGTCAAAAGGAAAAAAACCACCTGAAAAACACATAATGACTCACTTTATATAGTGTTCATCTGTACAGAAATGCTGTTCTTCTAGAGATCTGATCACCAGCAAGCTGCAGAATGCTTTACAAGTTGTATACACACTTTTCTATAGTCTAAAACTACGGACTGTCTGTATTTTACTTTACTACCTCTAACGTTTATGTTTCACCACCATGGGCTGCAATGTTACATTACAGTGGTGCTGACCCCACCCACCCCTAACATGTCTTTGCATGAGGCGATTGCTCCCAGCAATGCTGGGGACAGACTGTAGCATAACAAAAAAGCTTTCTCAGTGTAGGAAGATGCCAACACAGGAGATTTCAGTGCAAAACTACACAAAAAAGACCTTATTATAGTCATGTGTTTCTGTGCATTTGATTAGCTAAGACAGTAAAGGAAATCTCTACTCAGAGGAGACTTTAATAGTTTCCTTAACTTCTTTTCTGGCGACTGGTGTTAGAAGTGCTGTGATTACTGAACAAATTCTAACTGATTACCACTTTAACATCTCTACATATTGCTTTCAGTAATACATCCAGATAGTCAGCAGAGTAGGATGTTAGTTGTGTTCTGGAACTGAATGTTACCTGCTTATAAAAGATTTCAGTGATATGGCATTGCTAATCAGAGGTGGGCAAAATACTTGATTAAAGTAATTTATTTATCAGAATTTTACATAAACAATTTTTCTTTTAATTCCACAAATGTAAACTTTTTTTTGTCTTTAGATGAAACTTCTTTTTTTTCTTTGTTTTTAGAGTCAATCCTAAAAGATCAATCTAGGTGCTTCTAACTGTGCATTGTTTCTGAATACTTAATACCAGTTTCAGTGAATTTGCAATGTCAAATTTGCTTATGCTAATTGTCAACAATTGTGGTGATGATTATTTCATCGACAGCAAACCTGGTTCCTGAGAGTTTGATTTGGAGGGAGACCAAACCACTTCTGCCTGCGGATGAAGGTGTTCCACTGTGTTACCCTCATGTCAAAATGGGTCAGTACAGCATAGCCCATGGCCATCATTGCTACAAGAGTAGCATTTCTGAATTAAAGATCCTGACAAAGAAAGGGGGATGAAATCCTATTATAGAAAGAAGCTTTTCTTTGCTCACTCCCATTAGGTTGCCCAGCTCGTCGAGGACAGACGTTCACTGCATGCACACATCTGGCCCAGCCTCTCTTCGTGTAACATCATTCATCACGTCCTGTCATGTTAGCCATGCTGCCCACATTCCCCCAGCACACCACAGAAAACTTTCCTCTCAGCACCTTACATTTCACTCCCTCGTAGGCATCCTTTGTTCATTCTAACAACAAAATGGTACCATTCAGGAGCTGTAGCAACATAATTGGTAGTTAAACAGCACAGTCCTCCGGTCACCAAGAGGTCTGTGAGTGCATGGTCATGCTAGGATTGCTGCAGTGTCATTCACTGCTCCAAAAAAATGCAAACTAATGGTTTTGTGATTCTTTTTGTCTCTGACATTTCAAGAATGCTTTGCAAATATTCATTGTCTCCATGTACATACTAGGTGAAGCTGGGAAGTATTAATTCTCTCTGGAATATGAGAGTAAAAAACCATAATTATACTTGTCTCATTGATGTTATATAGATGTTGTGAACCCAGGTGGTCAAACCTACTGCTTCTGCTCTTTGAGCATGATTTCAGATTTTTCCACTTTGTACTTCAGCCCTGACAGCAAAGTAGTACAGTATATTGCAAGTTTATGACTACTGAGATCAGAATCATGTTGATGGAGGTGTCCTGCCGCCTGTGACATGGAAGGATGCAAGGGCAATGCCTCCCAGGGATGACGTCCATGGACGGAGCATGGACAGGACCATCAGGCAGCCCATGCCATTGATAGGTTGGGCCACTCCTCAAAGGCTGATACTTTAACTTTTATTTTTATTGCATTTCGTCTGTTGAGTACCTGTCTTGGGCCATATCTCAACAGGCTTTCATCACTTATACTTAGCTCATTATCAGTAAGGACAAGGGGAGAAGTTCCTTACTTGTGTACTTCAATACACACTTCAATCAGTTCATGAGTAGGTGAATTAGGGAAATGTGAGGTACTTGCAGTGTCCTAGTTCCTTTTTCCTCATTGTGGTTCTTGAGGTTTTGTTTGTTTTATTTTATTTCCACACCTGTTTTTCAATTTCATTTTTTCCTACTGCCCCTCAGAGCCTGTTTTTTGCCTCTTGGCTTTATCCAGCACTCTTTGCCCCTGCTGTTTTTTCTGCTTCTGGCTCTAGGTGACTACATTAGACTGTCATTCTCCAAACCAAAAGTATGTTATTTTTTCTCTTAATTTTCTCCATCACATCCCATTTGTCTCTTCAGTCATCTCAACTCTCTTATCAGGCTCAAAACCTTGGCACCATCATTAGGTATTTGCCAGTATCTATTCCACTACTCAGTATTATAGATAACCTTCCCCTAGTACATCTGCTTTCATCTCTTTCATCTTCTTGTCACTGTTCAAACTATGGAGTGACTCAGCTTTATGCAGTCTTTTCTTCACATGGCTCTGTTTGTATTTGTTTAATGAAATTCACCTCAAAAAGTCATTTAAATTTTAGGCATGTAGACAGATAGACCAGTAGATCTAGCACCCTGTGAATCACCTGGATCACTCCTGGAGTTGAACAAATAGCAATTATCTCAAAAATAATAAGCTGTTGAGGTTTACACAGAACCAGACAGTTCTTCCACCATTACACTGTAGATGATCAGAGCATTGTTTTTTCATGAACACCAAACTAACCTACATATTTCAGAAGAAAAATTATTTGTTAAGGATCTATGTTCTTTCCTCAATATTTGACATGCAACAATATACTGTGTCACCATGCCTTGAATATCTTGCTGCTGGCCTGTGACACAGTCCACAAGGCACAACAGCTATGAAATGTGGATCCTTCTGAGACGTTTCATGCTTGTCAGGTTGGCAACAGATTTGTGCTGGTGATGAGACTTGTCTGAGTTGCTGGGCATTGCAGGCCTGTTTCTATTTACCTTGCCAGCCCATTTGCAGCCAGCTGTTCTCCAGCAGGAGACAATGTTAAAGCAAACACACACATGGAAATTGTCCATAATAATTAAGATCCCAAGGCAATAAGTCCCTTAAACACGTGCTTAACTATGTTTAATCAGGTGACCAGTCTAAAGCTTCTTTTTGAAATGTCTTCTACAGTTGTCCAACCTATTAAAATCTTTTCAAGGTGATAAAAAATTAATTTCTTTTGTCTTCCATGCATATGTCATCCAACAATTTTCACCTGGCTTCAGAGTGGGCATTTACCTGCAGATGTTTCAGAAGTTCTTTCTCCCCTGTTGATTCTTTGACAGTACTTCTGCTTGCCAAATTCTCAGTTTGTTGATAATTTATCTTCTCACTCTTTACATCTTTTGTTATTTAAAACTAGAAAAAACCTCTTCATTCATGTTAATAAAACAGTTTAAATATGCCTTGTATCTGCGCCTAAAGATACTAAGGCTTGTGTGCCTTATGGAAATAAATGTGCTTAATAAATGTGTTTGAACATTGTCATCTTGGTCATTATCATCAGTACTTAGGACACAGGTCTCCCCATATTTTGGGGAATTACAATTACAAGTCTAAGAGTTGTTCTTATACAGAAATGAGAGTAGATATCTGTAGCAACTGAAAGTCTTGGAGGAAACCTACCAATTAGATAGATTATAAATCCAGATGTAATAAAAGGTCTTAAGAGACGTGACTTATCAAGTAGACAGAGGCAGTCAGACTCAGACATTTTTCTGAGGGATAACCATTGTCAGACCATTTTTTGCTCCTTGTTTTTACAAATTCCCAATTTGGGTCTGCCAGGTGAAGTACTTTGGTAAAACAGTTGCCCCTGTGGAAGAGAAAAGCTCTGGTGGGTTATGAGGCTTCAAGGACATGAAACAAAAATTTCAGGTCTCCCCTGAAGGGTGTCACTTATCAGGGACACCAAAGCAGAGATTTGATGCACCTGGGCAAATCTGACCTGCCTGCAGGTTCACGTGAGCTTTGCTGGAGCTTTTAGCTAGCACAACCCTGAGCTCTGGGTAGTGTGTTTTCATCTTAAGCAGAGGCAAGAAAGACTATCAGTAGTTTTAGAGGTGGAATTGTCTAAGAGGAAGAGATTTAATAGTCTGACCAGCCTTTACCTCAAAGCTTTTCTGGACATTACTGCTCTGGCTGGAAGTCTATCAAAACTTGAGGTTAAAAAGCAAATACAACTCTCACAAGAAGTTTCTCCACCATGTTTAATTCTTACTCAGCCTGCTACACAATATATACACTGAAAATAATCCTTCTCAGGATCTCAGCACCAAAAACTTCCTCATCTCAAAGCTTACCTCAGACATCTGAATGCAACTCAAAACATCCTGCTTGGTCATTGGCTCCCATGCAAATAGAGAGGAGATAAGCTGCTCCTTTCCCTTCCTGACAGGCTCCACAAACCTTCCACAGTGGTCTGAGGAAATATCAGAGTGGACATCTCAGCACCATGCCACGTGCATCTGGAAAAATAGCCCATGTCACCAAAAAAAGGAAAGAAGTCTCCACAATGATTACTGCCAAATGCCATTAACCTGCTATCAACAAACTACACCACTGCATGACAACCAATCAGTGTTTTTGTGTATGATGAAGCACAGTGGAGCCATCTGCTCATGGTGTGTGGCCTAAATGTTGGGCTGCAAGAGCATCTGAAAAACTTACTGGATGTTTCTGAATTTCACATCTCTACCACAGATGTTTCCCGCTGTGTAGTAGTGAGGTGCTGTGCATATGAGGTACCACAGCATTTGCAGTTTCTCCATCACTTTTCTGGGTGGTTTTAATCATGCTCGTTGTCATTTGCAACCACTATTCTTCCACTCATGACTGATTGGCATGGGATATGTTAACAGTGGTAGTTCATCGCTGCAGCAACTGTCAGAGGGCTTCAGCCTTCTGAAACACTGCTATCAGGAAAAAAAGGACAATGATGTTCCAAATGGTTCCCTTGAGGGGCTGTAGCAGTGAGTAAGGTCCATTTGTCTCCCCTTCACACTCCAAAAAAACACACTGGGGATGGTGCACACTTCTGTAAATCCACACTGTCCTGCTGCTCAGGGCACTGATCCCTCTTCCTGCCTAAAGGGAATCTCAAAGAGGAATGTGGGGCAAATCCCCAGAACAAAATGCTGAACAGCTAAGAAACTGAATTTCAATGTTGTGGAGAATGATCCTCCACAAAAATCAGAAAAATTAAATTCTAGAATTAGGAACTCTTAGCCAGCACTTTTAGACCTCATGGATGCTTATTATCATGTCCACATTGTAAAGCTTTTGATAATCTATGATGTAATGTAGATATAGTCACAGAGACTTTACCTACCTGCATTTATCATTCTGGAAAGATCATGTCTATTAATCATAGGTGAGAGCACAGCCTATTGTGTCCCTGACAATTAGAGCTCTCTGCCAGAAGAGCAGACACAAATGCCAAGATGAACAAAATGTAAGGGCTCTTTACAGGCTTTGGGTTGTTTTGGGTTAGTTGGTTTTTTTTCTGAAAATCTTGTGCATGCTATGAGTAGGGTCTTGAATTTTTGTGGTGTTCTGTAAGTGAATCTTAAGCAGGGAAGGGAGGGCAAATACCTGTTGCTAGCCACCACAAAGATCTGTTGGAACTTTAAATTGGGTTGAAGGGTTGCCTTGTCTTTGGGAGCTGTGCTAGAGAGAACTCACAAAACACACGTTTGAATATACAGGAACTGACCTGACACCTCAGCACTAAGCACATGCAAGTTCCCTGCATTCAGAGGTGAGGGGAATGACCTGAACAAGGGCAAGAAACCTTTTCTGAAACCCTAAGGCTTATCAAAAATTTGTAAAAATTAGCTGCTGTCTACTGGGATAAGACCAAATTACTTTATTAAAAAAACAAACAAACAAAAACCCAACAAAACAAAAACAAACAAAACAAAC